ATTTATATTGATATTTATACATATATATACATATACATATATATATATATATATATATATATATATATATATTGTGTGGGTGTTTGTGTGGTTGTGTATGCTTGTTTGTGGGTGCGTCTGCGTGTGTGCGCGTGTTTGTATTTGTACGTGTGTTCGTATCTAGTGTCGCTTTCTTGTAAGTGCACTTCTTCCGCTTGTCTGATATGAATATGCTTAGGATTGCATGGTTTAGAATTGATTATATGGTTTGTCGTGCTAATGATTGGATGTATCATTATTGTCCTACGGAGGTCGATTAACTGGCTCTTACGTACTTACAATAAACATTCATGTTGGATAGTATTCTCATGGGCGGTAAGTGGTCAGGTTGACCTTGCGCGTGCTGTTATTAACACTCGCATATACAATTGTCAATACGTGCACACTAACTCATAAGGAAGCAATTTTTTTTTGACTTCTTTCTCACTAGAATCAGCGAGCTCTCCAGTGACATCGGGAGTAGAATTTGAAGATTTGAAAAAGGCCCTTGACGAAACCTCGGTCAGTACAGAGAATGTTGTAAAGAACCATGTGAAGAAGATTTACAATTCTGCAGATATTGTGAATAGCCTGCTGAATGTCGAGGGTATCGATCCCAATGCAGTTGGTAAGTATGCGCGAGACTAACCACTTTTATGTATCATACGAGCCTCTGTAGACAGGCTTAGCCAATTCGATTTCGAGAACATTTATAGTGAACCGACGATATGCAGCATGTTACAGATATGTCACCATATTGAAACTGGAGTACTGCGCGGATTAATGATAAGCGAGTTAGGATGGTTTCAATCACCATTCGCGTCTACGATCGGCTTGATATATCGCGATTATTGTGCACATATGGAGGGACAACATCGGTTGAGATTCTGTACATGGAATGTCATGCATTTGGATGTGTTCGAACTTATTTTACACAATGAGTAGCATAATCATCTTGATCAGTATGTTTACACATCCAAATTCACCTACAATACACCAAACGAATTTGATGCACAGTTCATAGTGAGTTGTCAGACAATGATGTGTCGGAGAACGAGGACGCTGGGGAACCTATACAGCGTCGACCTATGACAGTGGAAGAAAAGGAAGAGGTTGAGGATCAGATGAAGGCTGCCTCTTACCACAGAGATGCAGATGACGTTGTTCTCGCCCACGCGTGGTCTTTTTGGATCGATAAGAACGTGAAGAAGGTATGAGAGCTAATTGGACGCCCGGGATGGGTTCAAACATTTACGAGGGTGACATTGATGTCTGGCATGTAGCATTGACACATGTCTGTATCAGTCGTGTTGTTGAACTGATGTCATAATATCCGGTACCAACAAGATATAGAGCCATTTCACAAAAATGTTTCCACAATCGGCGCGCAACGCTCTCGAGCACAAGACTTCCTGTATCGATCTATAATAGTGTGTACACCGTTCTTATGGAATATAGTTTTTGTGTAGTCGCCCATTATAAAGCATATACCACATCTTTCCACGTCCGAATTGCTACGCCTCACTAACACATCCCGCGTCGGCATTGTACGCATTCTGCAGGGTGTTTCGGAAGAGTCGTTCATGGATTCTCTGCATCTATTGGGCACGTTCAACACGTCTCATGGGTTCGCTGAACTTATGCTGCAATACAGTGACGAGCTCATCAATATCCACAACCAGAGTGAGAAGTGCAATATTCGCTTGTTTAAGGAAGGCATCTTACCCACACGTGAGGATCCTGTCAATAAGACAGGGGGGCAATACGTAGTCTTTTTGCCGAAGGTACGATTATATTTTTGTTCGACTTTTGAAAGAGTCACAGCATGATCCTTATTTGCGTGTTCAATTTTCCGAATTGCCTTTTTCACTGATTTATGTTCTATAAAGACTTGCAGATTTGGTTTGTTCAAAGCATGCTATTATGAAGAAAGTAAGTTTCATTGCCAAGTATCTTCCATCGATCGCTGTACAGGATCGTAGTGAGGTGAAGAGATTGTGGTTGGATTTCATGATCAGCTGCATTGGAGGCAACTTGTCGTTGCGAGGCTCAATCAACGGACTGGTTCTGGCCATGAAGAAGAGAGGAGATACAGTGGCTGTATGGATTGATCGGTGAGTACAATGGGTCGTTTTTCGTTAAGCATCATGTGTGTGTGTGTTCGTGAGTTTGTACTCAAACGGTCTGCCTCGTTCCCATGATTTCCTAGGTAAGCCTGTCCACGTTTTTATACATGTGTGAGTCCCACCTGCTGATTTTGGTTGCTAGCTCAACATTCAAGCCTGTTTCATGGTAGATTCGACACACTGCCTTGGTGAGACTGTATTCTCATCAAATATCGTTCTGTACGGTTACAGCGGTTGCCATCCAAGTTTCTACACAGAACAGAAGAACAACATCACTACCGCTACCAGCATGGATGAGCACACGCGCATCAAGTACAACAATCACTTCATGCACTCGAGACAGAACTCTAATCAGCCTACGTCCAGACAAAACTCCAATCAGGGTAGTAGAAATGTGTCGCCGTTCGCCAGTCCCCGTACCAGGTTTGTTGACATGCAAGAAACTCAGATTACGCAGAGAAATACATATTGCCTATGGTTTGGGAACCTGTTGTGTATGAGTTAGCATGCATAGTTGCTTACGTTCTACTTAAATTGTGTTTCAGACGACATTCAATGGTACTGTGCTCAAACGTGAAAATTATATTTTTTGTGCTGATTTGGGTTACAATCGACCGTTTACACCTGTAGGGCTCTACTATACACACATTGTCGTTAAGAGCTAAATGGGGCTCATGTATCTCTACAGGCGCAAATCTTGTGAGAATAATCTGAACTTCAGTCCTCTGCCGAACAGAGGATCATCCCCGATGACTTTCAGACAGGCTTCGTATGAGCCTGATAGGTAAGTCGGGCGTCCGCATAAGTGACATATGCACTGAGTTTACTTCGCGAATGATCAACTAGGCGGGCCACTATACTGCCAACCGAATCGTTGATCGTTGCTAGACATTGTAAAATGCACTTCGATAGTTGCCTTCGTAGACATCTCCTCTTCATCATTTCAATCACGGGCCTGTCAGGCAACATAAAAGCTCTGTATACCTGCTTGTTCAGTCGATATATACCACTTCATTTCCATTTCACATCATGTATTAATATAGCCGAGCTGGCGGTCCTAGGAATGCCAACGCATTCAGAAGCAGTCCTTCGCTAGGTCCTAACAATAACGGAGGCTTCCGTAGCCCTCAACCCCAGAGGACCAGCAGACAGCCATCGTACAACTCGGAAGAGTATGTTTTCGTCTACTAAAGTAGCATTACTCTGAGACAATTTGCTTCTATATGCGAGCCAATCAGTTTGCCTTCTTATAATGACGTCGCCATCTTGTTGCCTATAGACATCTGACTCATTGCTGAATACGTCTTACTGCGTGTTTCGTGATCTCAAGGAGATCTTTTTTCAGTAGACAGCGTTCTTTTTATTCTCCTGTCTTGTTTAGTGCACTATTTGGATGTCCAAACTCATTACCTACTTATCTCATGCTTATCTCACCCACAATCGACGTAGTCCCGGAAACACTCGCAGCCCTCAACCCCGAAACAGTAGTGATTTCAGGCGCAACACCTCTTTTGATCCCGAAGGGTAAGTAACGAGTTAGAGAAAGCCACAACAGTCCACTTTTATATCATCTAAAACACCTGTCAAAAAAGGGAAATTTGCGAGTTGCTTGCAATTCTTGTGAAATAGCACGTATGTGAACGAGCGTATTGCTTCTTGGAAAGATTGGGTCGACATCAGCTTTAGTATTGTTGCGTGCATACAAACTACAATAGACATGAGCATGTGGTATTTTCAAATGCCGATTCGAAGCTACAAGGACTGTTACCCATTTCATTTCTTTTCCCGTTCGAGAATAGAAATCTTCGTCGAAACGATAGGTATGCTTCAGAAAGCAATATGAATCGGATCGGCGCTTATCGACCCCCTGGCTCCTCGAACGAGTAAGTTTTCACATGCAAATGGTCGCATTGACTAGCCCCTGCACTATTATCGTGTATACGTCGTTTTTCTAACGCGCGCTTAGTATTTGTCGCTACTAAATTATCTAATCACGACTGAACACGACGCGACATACGCATGCGAGAATCTAGTGAATGCTTGACTATCTATACCCATTGAAGTGTGTTTCTTCTCTCTCATATTGGACGGAAAGTCGTGGTAGGGACATGGAAGCGAAGAGTGTTGGATCTCTAGCCCCCAACGGTGGTGCACGAAGCCCAAATGTTGTGCGCCAGCCATCAAACGAGCTTCAACAACGTAAATCTGACGCTTCAACTTCTTGGAGGTGAGCATACTTGCCTCTTGAATGTCTTAGCATTGTTGTGGTTTGCAAATTTGGGTGATAAGAATGTCCTTTGTTGCCATGGTTGTGAAGCGGTGAAAAACCGAAACCCCATGTGGTGCGGAGATACATAGCATCCAGCGAATACAATCCTGAACCATTCTGAAATCACTTAATTAATCGAAATCAAAACATTCAGGTCTCCACGAGCCGCTCAAAAAAAGAGTTCGCTTGAGTTCGAGGCCATGTCGTCAGCAGCATCTTTCGAGGGCATGGACAAGACCGATTCCTCTAAAGCCAGCACGGCGGGCGAGGACAAAGCGGCTGCTGGAAATTCTACTGGCACAGCCGAGGCGAAGAAGAAGAACAATAAGAACAGGAACAAGAAGAAAAATCCCCATCGAAGTGATAGCAAGCCTAACGGTGAAATGAATGGTAGCGCCACTAAAGGAAAGCCTGCTAGTCCAAAACCTGGCAAGAAGTCTGCTAATAGTACCAGTGGAAAACCTGACGCGGCTAAAACTAGCACCACCGTTGAAATTCCTGCTGAGCCTAGCAAGTAGACAAATGTCGTGCCAGCAAGATGATGTTGGATCGGATAAGCTACGTTCGAAGAATAACATATGTTGATCTGCTCTCAAAACACGGCAAAGTCCTTGGATGTTGTCAGTGGGGACACGTGCTATTGTTTTATTAAAATAGATCGCGGCTTGTCATTTGCAAGGATTCAGTTCGGGTTTGAACTAAATTTCATTCTCATTCTATAGTTCATAAGTTAGTACAGGGATGCTTCATCTCGTACACGTGAATTACCCAAAACATTCCTGGAACAGATGCGTTACTTTTTTGGCAGAGGGTCAATTGGTCACGCATGTATATTTTACAGCCAGCCCAGCCCAGTCCTCAAATACGGAGTCCGTCAGCCCTTTCTCTTCTCGCCATCTGACCTACAATGGCGCACTATACAATACAAGCAAATACAGGTGCTCTCAGTGCCTCTGACAGAGACTGCCTGCTGTTTACGCGAAAGTTGACTGGCATTAAGTAGCGATTGCATTCTGCTGGTTCGATACCGAGTTCACATGTATCGGTTCCCAAGTTTGTGTGAGGCAAGTTACTACCGTAGCTCGATTGAATGAGGAAATAAAAAACAAATTATGCACACAACTGTTAGTGAGCGCGCAATTGTAACAACGAGATGGATATCAAACCTGGCAATTCGTATATACATATACGCACACAAGTGCACACAATTGGTTTATTGAGGACAATCGAATCTCAATTGCATAACTGGGTGTTCCATACGAGTGTTAGCTATCTATCTATCTGATACTTGCGGTGGTCCTCCTCCGGTGTTGAGGTCTCCCATTTGCGTCACTTTCAAGAGCAACGGTGCCCCACTACGAATCTGGACTATTCGCTAAATGTCAGACAACGTGCGCAGAATCGGGAGTATGGGGACAAACTATAGCAGTCCTCTCTGGTCAGTCACTACATTCGGACTCTGGACACTGCAAGTGCGTAAAGGCAGTTTCTCTGAATTCACGATGATGTAGATCACCAGTAGTCCGAGTCTCTCTCCCTATTGCCACCACCACCGCGTGATGAACCCCTACTGCCGCCACCACCGCTCCTGCCACCGTAAGAATAACCGCCATCATCATCTTCATCGTCGTACCTATGAGATGTGAGATACATCAAGCGACATTTGTGAATAGTTCAGTTCTATGCTTATTCGATAACGTCCTTAACAATGATTAAAAAACATCCGCCCCACACTTGTCCGCCATCAAATGTAAGCTATCATTCGTCTAACGTCGATACTCAAAATCAACCTGGAGTCTCAATCCGCCGGAGCTGTTTCATACTTTTCTGATTAGCAAATCAAAATATCGAAACATACCCTCCACGACCGCCTCGGCCACCTCCGTAGTCGTCACGGCCAGCGCCGCCGCCGCCTCGGCCGCTGTAAGTGCGATTCTCGCCCCTGTCATTACGGTACGATTTGATCTTGACACCTTTCGTATCCTTGATTTTTTGCAACACAACCTGGACCAAACAAAAATACACAATAATGAGTATCAGATGTAAACGTTCAAGTCAATCACTGCAATAAACGAAGCCGCTTATCAAATTACTCTGACTCTAATGGAGAACGACAAACCCGCCAGCAGCAGCATACCATACTTGGAAACTATCATACACATCTGCGAAATGACCGGTCTAAGTAGTGCATAGGAACATGCTTGCAGTTCTCGAACCCGAACAAATATTACACGATCATATTCAAAGGTCTGCTAAACATCTTACACCCAAGCACCTGCTTGTAGAATCACAATGTGATTGACAACAACTGTCCGCGAGCAACGCGTGTAGTTCTCGACTATACATACCTCCTTTAGCTCAACAGTGTCCGGCGTGCAAAATGTTATCATCTTCTGGTCTGCCATGACGATATTAAGGAAATTATCCTCGCCTGTATATAAATAGTAGCAAGACATCATTGAGCACCTCAAAAGTTACATATTGAGTAATGTGCGAAGTAGCCTTGGCAGCTGAATCCGACGAAGCACGCTTGGCAATCGGAGATACTAAGTATGATCACTAGCCATAAGCATTATTGCTATAGCGACTCCGTCTCCAAACCCATCATTTGACAATACATACGGAGCCAAGCGCGATCGATTCACAAATTGCATACCTCTCTTGTGATTGATTGTCTTCACCTTGCCGTAGTCGAAGAAATATTCGCGTCCTGCATCTGACGTTACGTAGAAGCCGTCTCGTTCAAAATCGACAGCCACCTGATATATTACACAGGTTATCACCAATATGGATTATTGAGAAAATCAACCTAAATTTAGTAAAAACTAAGTTGAATGCAGATGTATAATCAGGTAAATTGAGCCTATATACATAAATATCAGCACACTCGCCCTGATGGCATATACTTAGAAGTTGACATGGAAGTACCATACCATCTCTTCGGGCCTTTTGATTACGGAATATTCCAACCCACTGACGCCTGGAATAAAATAATATTATATTATGAGTAGGAAGTGCATCAAATGTTCAGAATATCGCCTGTGGCGCATCCTGACGCAAGCTGTAGGTGGCCATTAGCTGATACCCCTTTCCTGTCAGATGGTTGTGTAGAATCATGAGTGGTTGTCCCACAATTATTACGTAGCGTAACTATGAGGCTCGTAATGTGCATAATTGAAGGTAGGACTCAATCGGAATGAAATAAGAACCACACGTTCGTATCGTGATATTTGGATACGCTTAATAGCCACAACAGCCTCTTAATACTGTATATACATATGAATTGTAATCTATGGACGACCGCCCCTACACCTTATGGCATTTATCTTTATAGAAGGTGAAGTGTGACATTCACAAACTCACCTGTTGCGTTCCATGACTCACGCGCCTTTGCTCGGTACACATTCCAGTGCAGCTTGATGCCACCTCCGTAACCACCATTATCACCATAGCCTCCACGGTCATCTTCGTCATCGAACACGTCTCTTTTGCCTCCATATCCACCGCCTCCGCCACGGCTACCGCCACGGCTACCGCCACGGCTACCGCCACGGCTACCGCCACGGCTACCGCCACCTCCGCCACGCCTGTGGTACAGCGCATCAGATAGATATAGTGTGTGTGCAACAAATTATCAAAGACGCACGGTGTCATTGCAATTTTATAGTAGTTCAGGATCAACTGGTGGCACATTATTGCACTTCTGACAGCGCGCATACTTTGGTAAGAACCGAAGATGCAATGCTGTCCAACCCGAATAATTGTTTCGGAAATATCAGAAAAAATGTACATTTTATTTCAAGCCGCATGGTTTTTCTAAAGCAATTTAGCTCTAACTTGAAGTGTGTAAACAGATCAGATATATATATATATATATATATATATATTTACATATACATACATACATACATACATATATACATATATATCACAAGTCATCCATACTACTTAATCTTATAGTAACAATTCATCGCAAACCAAAATTGGCCTGCGCAAAACGGATCCTGACTCAACGCTTTCTCACAAACAGATCGTTTCATCCCATCCACATACCCATAGTCGTTCCCGTAATCCTTGTTGCTCTCATATCCTGTGTGAAGAGGGCATGGTGTTTATAAATAAACATGCTGATTTACCTGTAAATTACGAAAGACTTACCACGAAAGCTACAACAGCGTGAATTTGCCTCCTAGAACAAGTGTGGCCAGGATAACACTTGTAGGTTTATACCTTGATTCAGATAACATACATCAGTACTCATGATGTATTATATGATTTGTTCTCGGTTATGAGTTAACTGACACACCGTGAGCATAAAAAATAAATAGTAGTACAACCACGAAAATTCGTGAATAGGATTCCAGTGGTTGATGAAACATAACATAAAGCTACAATACGCAACTCTTCATTACACTCCAAATATATAATACGATCAGCTCTGGACTATGAACTAACCAATACACCGAGAGTATTGGAATAAATATATATATTACAGTGGACAATATTTACTGCTAAATCACAAAAACCCGCCAGTAGGATCCCAGTGGCTAACGAAGAGTAACACAAAGCTACGATACGCAGCCCTCCAGTACACGTAGTGTATGTATAGTAAGATTAGCTATCTGGATTCTGAGCTAACTAACAGACCGTGGGCATTGAAATAAAAATATAAAACAGCAGTTACTATTAGTATTAACCACGAAAACCCGGTACATACCACCGTAGTAATCGTCGTCACCTCCATCCTTGTATCGGCTACCGCCGCCGCCACTGTCACCACCATATCTGTGGGGACTGGGGCTGCGTCGACTGTTGAAGTAAGATAAGTTAAATCGATAAGGCAGCGCCAGACAAATCTTAACACAGGAATTTTGCTTACAGGGGAAGCACGTCTTATGTTTTCCTTGCGAGTACGACATGTCACTTTCAGTATGCAGATACGGATGGCATCAGACGCTCTGAAAAGACGTACAAAGATATCAATATAGAACTTATGAAACTTACGACCACTTTAGTTGACAACTCTTTGTGTACATCAAACATACTCATCACCATCATATCGATCATATTTATTCGCCCGGCGGCCACTCTCTCGATCATAGCGATCTAGCGCAGCAGACTCCTGTACATATAAGTAATGTTAAAAGGTGCATAACGATTTATGGAAGGTAATATTGATTGAGTTGCAATAATATCAAACTAATAAACTGAAAAGACAAAGATCGTATGTAGGTAAGGCAATATGAATTTGAATATACAAACCTTAATTGAATAGATCTAAGATGAAGAACTTCCTGGGGTGACAACTAAATATGGACGTTAGGAAGATTATTACAGCAAGTTCTATTTCAAGGTGACAACTGCCAAGAAGATCTAAGTTTGATGTACATAAACACGATACAACGAACAGAAACAGTAAAAATATAAATTCACCAGCAAGCGGGACTAAACTTACAACCGGAACCCTTTCTTATTGATAGACGGAGAAAGCACAATATGGATGTATGTTACTCATCAATCCTGTGATCACATGATGCATACATGTATGCATGTACATATACATATAGGTGTGTAGATATATATGCAATATAGATAAAATAAATATACATATACAAATATACATATATACAAAAATAAATATATATTCATGTGTATAAGTAAATAGTATATAGACGAATTTATATATATATATATATATACTAATATATGCATATGCATATGCATATATATATATATATATAAATACGTATATACATATGTATAATATATATATATATATATATAGACGCATTCGTCAACGCGTACACGTACAGGAATACATACACACTTACATACACACATATATATACTTGTATATAAATATTTTTATATGTATGCATATATATTTATACCCATTCATATATTTATACACATGCCTATATATATTATATATATATATATATAAATGCGTGCGTGTGACTATGTAAAAACATACATACATATATATGAATAAATGTGTGTATAAATGTATATGTATATCTAATATATGTCTATTTGTAAGTAAATAGATATTTAAACACATACACATATCCATATATATATTTATACATATAAACATATATACATGCATATATATGAAAAATATCTCTTCTTGTATATGTATTTACACGCATATATATATATATATATATATATATATATTTACACATATACATATACCTATGTAAATATATATATATATGTTTGTGTGTTTATAATTTCTAAATTTATGAAATTATATACATGTTTTTATAAATAATTATCTCTAGATATATGAAAATATTAAATCATCTTCATTTATCTCTAGATATATGTGAATATAAAATAGTATACATGTAATTTTATAACAAATATGCACGTGTATATATATGAATACATATATATATATATATATATATATATATATATATATATATATATATATATACACTATATATATATAGTAGTATAGTGTATACTATATATATACATATATA